AAACAAGGAGGTTTTCGGATTTCTTTGTTGGAAATCGACCCATTTTAGAATCAATCATCTTTGGTAACACGGAGTACAAAACTTAAAAAGGTCGTCTAAGTCAAAATCAAATTTAGGGGGGTGCTTTGCAAAAAGTGAGCCGCTTCGGGGGTTAATTGGAGGGATAATTGATACAAATGTCCACGAATTTTAGTTCAATGTGTAATGTGTGGTCAATGAATTTTTAATTGGTCTGATATGGTCTTTGAATTTTATTTCAATGTGCAATATCGTCCTTGAACATTTGCTTTCTTCAATGTAGTTCATAAATTTTTTATTTAGGTTCAATTGAGTTCCTGTACTATACGAAAGTATTTAACACTGATCCTGAATTTAAATTAATGGAATGACAACATTGAACATTTTTATATAATCTAAGGACTAAATTGAGAACCTACCAAAATTTCAGAGACTACGTTAAATAAATTGCTCATTTTTGTCAAATTTCAAGGATCATATCGAATAAATTAAATATTTAGAGACATATATGCACGTTAGGTCAAACGTTTATGGACCATTAAACCCGAAACCCAAATAGCATTCGGATGGAACCCGTCTTTCGCTCTCGGTTCAGAGAGTTCAAATATGAGTTCGAGTTTGACCCCTCGTCTTCTGCAATGCCTTGTTTCTGAGCGTGCAAGAGAGCTCGAGACAGCGACAGCGAGAGAGAGACGGAGGCTATGGTCGACAGCGGCGGCGGGGGCGGCGGCGCGTCGCTGCCGTCGGTGGGGCAGGACGCGCGGAGGCGGCGCGTGAGCTACTTCTACGAGCCGACGATCGGCGACTACTATTACGGGCAGGGCCACCCGATGAAGCCCCACAGGATCCGGATGGCGCACAACCTCGTCGTCCACTACTACCTCCACCGCCGCATGGAGATCAGCCGCCCCTTCCCCGCCGCCACCACCGACATCCGCCGCTTCCACTCCGACGACTACGTCCACTTCCTCTCCTCCGTCACCCCCGAGACCGTCTCCGACCCCGCCTTCTCCCGCCTCCTCAAGCGCTTCAACGTCGGCGAGGACTGCCCCGTCTTCGACGGCCTCTTCGGCTTTTGCCAGGCCTCCGCCGGCGGCTCCATGGGCGCCGCCGTCAAGCTCAACCGCGGCGATTCCGACATCGCCCTCAATTGGGCGGGTGGGCTGCACCACGCCAAGAAGTCCGAGGCTTCTGGGTTTTGCTATGTCAACGATATCGTGCTTGGAATTCTTGAGCTCCTCAAGGTTCACAGGGTATTAAAAGTTTCTCTTTTTTCCTTTCAATGTCTCTCTCTCTTTGCACAATGCATACAGAGATTTACAGGTAATGCGTGGTCAGAAAATGTTTAGAGATGAACAATCTTAATCAATTCTGACCTAGCTGTGATGATGCTAGATTTTAGATATTTTTCCTATCGTTCTCAGGTATCCTCTGCCTTTCATGGAGTTTTATATCTTCATTTCTATCTTTTAATAGTGTTTTGGGATAGTTTAGATAAAGGCAATGTGCATATGAATTTCTCAGTTTGAGTGTCTTGCTGCTTGAAGAAATTAGCGAATATCCCTTGATGTTGTATACTTTTTTCTACCATCTCTGTAGGCTATAGCATGCTATTGAGTTTGCTATGTCCTTGGTATGACTAATCACAACCAAACCAATCATTTCGCCGGATCCCTTTAACTCAATTCATATGAATTTTGCAGCGTGTTCTCTACGTGGATATCGATGTTCATCACGGGGATGGGGTGGAGGAGGCATTTTATACGACGGATAGAGTCATGACCGTGTCCTTCCATAAGTTTGGGGACTTCTTCCCTGGAAGCGGGCACATTAAGGACACCGGGGCAGGGCTTGGGAAGAACTACGCCCTGAATGTGCCACTGAATGATGGCGTAGATGATGATAGTTTCTGTGGCATGTTTCGCCCCATTATTAAAAAGGTTATGGAGGTATATCAACCGGATGCCGTTGTTCTTCAGTGTGGGGCAGATTCACTGTCTGGTGACCGATTGGGATGCTTCAATTTGTCTGTGAAAGGTCATGCAGATTGCCTCCGTTTTCTAAGATCTTTTAATGTTCCCTTAATGGTCTTGGGTGGGGGAGGTTATACAATGAGAAATGTCGCTCGTTGTTGGTGTTACGAGGTCAGTGGCTTCATCTGTCTCTCTGTTGATTATATTACTTTGTGTAGCATTGAGGCGTTTACCGAAATCTTGTGTGTTGCTTTTGTCACACAGACAGCTGTTGCGGTGGGAGTGGAACCTGAAAATGACTTGCCTTACAATGAGTATTACGAGTATTTTGGCCCAGATTATACTCTTCATGTCGAGCCATGTAGCATGGAGAATCTTAATGCACCGAAAGATTTGGAGAGAATCAGGTTTGCTGGTCACTTGTTTCTGATTATAGATAGAGTATACATAAATAAATGTTATGTCTTTTCTAGTTTTTGTGAACATTTTCTGGATACACTACTACATCCACTCAACAGCTCATCCAGGAACAAAAATAAGAGAACAAACTCCTGATTAGTGGCGTTGGCAACTTACTTTCCATTTATAATATTCAGAGACTTATATGTGTCTTCTGGTTGAGATGAAGTTGTTGATCATTATTTGGAGAAGTGATATTGTGAATTGGTCTGTGAATATGGTGGTCTTGTTTCTGTCTCACGCACGCTGCTTATCCTATTGAATTTGTAAGTCTTGTACTTGTAAATAGGCGGGATTAGTTATTCATCGGCGAATCTTTTCCTCCAGGAGGTTCTAGAATTGTTTACTAGACACAGTGTCGCACAGTTGTTGGAGTCTTTTTTGAGAGTATTGGCTTTCTGAGGGTTGTCCATGCATTTGCTTCAGAAGTTGCAAAAGGTTGCTTGAAAATCCTCTTGTAATATGAAGATCGGGCTTCTTACTCTCTTGGAGCTGTTGAATACAAGCTAGCTTTCTAATTTGGAAAGCCTGAGAGTTTTTTATTTTTTTACTATTTATTTATTTATTCTCTTTTCGGCACACTGCTTTTTTGTTTATAGTTAAGTTTTTTAGCTTGTTTGATATTTTCTACTTGCAAACAGAGGTTTTACTCTCTATTAGTTGTGTGTTGCAAAGAGAACTAGAGAAACTAATACGAGCAAGCTGCACTGTCCTCAGGCAAGTAGTATGCTACTGGTAGTTGTGTATTTAGACCAGTCCTTTTGTTTTAGGAGTCCCTGGAGATAATTCTTCTATGGACTCATAAGAGTGCAGTTGAAATTGAACAAAACAGTAAGTTCCGAAGTATGTTGGGAGGCAATTCTCTGTCTCCACTCCTGGTGATATTTCTGATAGTGGATACAATTGCTCTATTTGTTTGCTGTTTTCTTGGAAAAAATTTTCGCTCGAGGTTTCTTCAATTTGTTGGTTTCAACTCCTCCGTACCCTCCAATAACCAGTCTAGGCATGCGCCTGCATTTTAATTACTCTTATGATGCTAGGATGGAGTTTAATCTTTACGATGTTTTTCCCTCCATGAATTAGTTTTTGACAAGTAATGTATCTGTATCTCAGGAATATGTTACTAGAGCAGCTATCAAGAATCCCCCATGCACCAAGTGTTCCTTTTCAGATGACACCACCCATTACACAAGAGCCAGAAGAGGTAGGTTTGTTGGACCGCTGGACTCTTCCTAGATATTAATTGTCCTTTCGTGTTCTTCAGTATTGGATACAAAAAATCTGCAGGCTGAGGAAGATATGGATGAAAGGCCCAAGCAGCGCATTTGGAATGGTGATGATTATGAATCGGATGCTGAAGAAGACAAGAGTCGACATAGGTCATCGAATGCTGATGCTTTGCATGATGAGAATGTTGAAATGAGGTCAGACATTTCCTAAATTTTGGTGTTGCAATCTTGCCGTAATCCAACTAGAAGCATCTCTACTTCCGTGTTTTTTTTTCTCCCAAGGAGGTGTAATCATGTTTTGGAAAAGAACTTTTAGGAGCTTATTAGGAGGCATTGGTGATTTATCTTCCAGTAACATTAAGTAACTTGGACTCCGCAAAGTGCAGTACTTGTATCACTAAGTTTCTATCCTCAAAGGGCTACCGAACAGTTCACCAAGTAACTTGACACTAAAGTAACTATAAGATGAATTGTAACTGGGATAATCTTGGTTCCTTCATGAGGAAAACGGAGGAGCAACGAGAGTGGAAAAAAGGAAAAACAAGACTAGATAAACCATCTACAGCTACCTCTTGTATTTACATTTGTCTGCTAGTAAAACATACACTTTGTATCCTGAGATTTGATAGGACCCACACTTTAACAGCCAAAATGAAATTGATCGATTAATTAGTACCTATTTTATTGATCTCTACTTTGGATGTTCTCTCTTGATCTGCTCTCTCTCTCTCTCTCTCTCTCTCTCTCTCTCTCTCTCTCTATGCTGGTTGTGGGTGATCCATGACTCCAATAGTTATTTGAGTTTTTTGGTCAATGCAGGGACAGTGTTGGTGAAAACAGTGGGGGCAAAACAAGTGAAGATCGTCCACCATCTTGACAACACCAGCTCTAATTCTTGTGTACTCTTGGGTCTTTCTGATATGCAACGCATGAAATTCTTTCTAGGTGAGGAGATAACCTTATCAAGCCAATAGAGTCTCTCCAATGGTCGGGCAACATTGGATGATTGGTGAGCCGCACTAGACGAGGCAGGTTTTGATTATTTGATGTCGCACTGTATGTTGGAATAGGAAAGACCGAATTGCCGAGTGTAAATGAGATGTTTTCTCGTGTCTCCAGCTGATGTCGTTCGTTTCATTGGCTTATGTGAGATGGATTTACCTAGTTACCCAGATATGTCATTCTATCATCATACTGTTTGTCGCATCGGTTCGGTTCCCATTTCGATCATCTTCGGTAAAATTATCAAGGTTTGTGCAAGTTATGCAGCAGCTACGCAACTGCATCAACCTTTGGCCACAGAAAATTTCGTTCGTTTATGTCTCTAATGTTCCTGATCTGCTCATTCTTCAGTGAAATTGGGAATGAATCTAGAATACACTTGCAGATTGTCATTGTCATGAATTTGAGAACTCATCACATCGGTTGACAAAATTGGGGATTTCAGCTACGAATTTTGTTGGTCTTTATTTTCTCTGGTGTCTCCTCGGGTTGTAAATTGTTATCATCTTCGGTCCCTTGAGCTGCGCTCGACACCAACGAGACAAAGGATGTTGTCCCTCTCATCGCCACTCTCTTACCTCCTTCCCATTCCAAACCCTCCTGCCTTCTTCCCCGTCAGACCCGCCCTTCCGACCGCCGCCGGCCTCCGCCTGATCCCGCCGAAACGCCGCCGCCAATCCGTCTCTGCAGCCGCCACTCAGGACGATGGAATCCCCGCCGACGACGTCAAGACCCTGGCCCGGTTCAAGTCCCGCCACAACTACATCCGCGTGCTAGAGGTCTCCCGGAGGTGCGACCACCCCTTCGCCGGCTCTCGCCTCCTCCTCCTCGACTCCCCGGGCAACATCCACAGCATCTCCTTCCTTCTCAAGCCCCTCACCTCCACCTACCTCGACGTCTTCGCCACCCTGCCCCCCCTCCTGCCCCCCGGCCCCATCGGCGTCCTCGGGTTCGGCGCGGGCTCCGCCGCGAGGCTGCTCCTGGAGCTCTACCCCCGCGGGGTGGTGCACGGGTGGGAGCTCGACCCGGCCGTGATCGACGTCGCGAGGGAGTACTTCGGCCTCTCGAGGCTGGAGAGCGACCACCAAGGTCGGATCTTTATCCACATCGGGGACGCGTTGAGGGCTAGCGCGAGGGATGGGTTCGCGGGCCTTCTGGTGGACTTGTTCAGCAAAGGCTGCTTGGTGCCGGAGCTGCAGGACCGGAGGACGTGGGAGCGGCTGAGGAAGGGGCTGAGGAGGGGAGGGAGGCTGATGGTGAACGTGGGAGGGAGCTGCGTGGAGGCGGAGGACGAGACCCGGGACGGGAGGGCGGTCATGGCGGAGACGCTGGAGGCGATGCGGGAGGTGTTCGGGGAGGAGGAGGTTCAGGTGCTGCGGCTCGGGAACAGGGAGGACGACAGCTCGCTCGCTCTCACGGGCCGAATGCCGGATCTTGATGCGTGGAGGGCGGGGCTCCCCAAGCCCTTGAGGTGCTATGTCGATATGTGGAGGCCGATCGGCGGTCAGTACTCTGTCGGAGCAGGAGACGAGTAAAGAAGGGGGTGGTGAACGCCATGTGTTTGTGTTTATTCCTGTGTGGAAGGAAGCTGGAGTGCGACTGATCGTGTACTTGAATTTTGGACAGATCAGTGATGAAATGCAAACGCCCATTGCTTTGAATGGGCAGTATGCCTTGTGTCTAGTGAGTTCGATAGGTTTAGCGTTTTTGGCGAGACTAAGGTTCCGTTTGTTTCACATGAAAAAAAAATATTTTTTTCTCGTTTCCGACATTTGGATCGTTGAGGAAAATGAGTTAAACGAAATATGTTTTCTTAGTCAACGAAAACCTGCTTGAATTTAGAAAAATAATTTCCTCTTAAAAAATCGGATATCATTTTCCGAAATATGACTAGATATCAATGCTTGGATCCGAAACTCTACGTTTTGGCACAAAAACCCTAATGCTTGTTCCTGAGCACCCAGCACTAGGTCCTCAACGCTCGAGCCCGGGACCTAGGTGCCGGTGCTATGATCCATCTAGGCCAAGCCTGAGACCTCAGTGTCCATGCTTGATGCCCCAGCACTCGGGCCTGGGTCCGCAAAGGTCGTGATCGGGTTTCTAGCGCTCAGGCCCAAGACTTAGGTGCCAATATCCCCGCTTGGATTACGCGCACCCAAGCCTTGGGTCATTAATGCCTACGCCTGAGAACTTGATGCCCGTGCTCGAGTCCCCGACACCCAGGCCTGGATCCATCAAGGCCGAGCTCGAAACCCTAGTATTCATGCTTGGATCCCTCACACCTGAGCCTTAGTCCATTAAGGTCACAAATCGGGACCCGAGTGCCCTTGCCCGAATTCTCGAGGACCTGAGCATGGACACTGGGGTCCCATGCTCGGTCTCGATGGACCTAGACTTGGCCTTTCTCCATGGTCCAAGGCTCGAGCACCAAGGACCCGAGCCCAATCATTGGGGACCCGAGCACTGGCACTAGCATCCCGGGCTCAACCTCGATGGACCGGGGTTCGAGTGTTAGGTCCCTAGCTTGGCCTCTATGGACCCGAGCCTAGGCCCGAGCACCAAGGTCTTGCGCTCATCTTTTGTTGATCGGGCTCGGGTGCCAAGGATCTAGGCATGGGCAGAAAGGCCTCGAGTCGAGCCTCCATGGACTTGGGATCGGTGCCTGTGCTTTTGCTAGGGACCCAAGTGTTCGCGCCCGGGTCCCGCCTGTGCTTATTTCCTCGACTGCCCTTGCTAATGTTACTAACGTCTGATTTGATTTTCCTTTCCAAAATGATGGAAACTATTTTCTATTTCTGTTTAGGTTTATGTCAAGTATTGAAAAATATTATTATTTTCTCGAAAAATATTTTCCAAAAATATTATGAAACAAGACTAAGATAAACAACGAAAATGATTTATGGGTGCATTTTTCAGAACATTTCTCAACTGCTGGGCTTATACAGGAGTTGCATTAACCGAACTAATGGCCCAATATACAAAGAGCCATCCTTAATATGAAGTGCTGCATTATAAACTTCCAAGTAACAAGCCCACATACTGAAGAAATCACAAAAGCTTTTAGTTTCTTGAGGTATTTGCTTCCCGATGGACGAGATGGCGTACATCGTCACTGAATTGAACTTGCACTACTAGTATCTTTGTAATTACCATATCAAAAGAATACTCCTGATCTGCTTTTCATACCCAAAGACAGATGAGATGCTGCAAAAGCCTAATTACTCTCTTGTAAAGTCTTAAACATAGGGCCGATATAAACATGAGGTTCCACTTTCCACAAAGAATCAGAATCTTGGGTGCAAGGTTAAAGAGAGGGAAAGTAAATGGAGCATTAAGGTTGGACTTTATCGACCAAGGGGCAGCTTTTTTCTGGGCATTGCTTTAGGCGCCCCTGACACATTTGCCAGATTAAGAAAACGTTAATCACCCCAAGGAGATGATGACTTGGTAAGAAAATTAATATCGTTTGGTGGTCCTCAGTTTGATGTGATAGTTAACAATGCAACGTGATGAACAAGTAAGATGTTCACGACTGCGTATAAGCTCCTAGATGACATTCCTATAGGCAGAGAGAGGGGCGAGCTATGGATGATCTACGACTGCTTTGGTTCAGCTGACCCACATGGAATGTTCGCTAGAAATCCGGCAGGCGTGCTTCGCTGGCAGTTGGTAGAGGTACAAAAGCAAGAGAAATGGACGAGGAAGAGGTAAAGGAACACTTATTATTGTATCTATCGGGTGTTTTCCATAGGTTTTTGCACTGTGATTTGATGCATATAGACCTTAGGCCATGAGCTGATGGGGACATGGCCACTTTTGCTAGGGTTAAACCTTAAGTACTATACTTCAGATGGATATCGGACATGGATGCTATACAGTCGTTGGGTCCAGAGAGTCAGTTTGGATGATATGGTATTTTTCAAGCACGTTCGTACCCTTCTTTTGGGATACGCGATGTAGATGGAGGATGTGAATAGCCAGACCGTGAGGATATTTGGTTCAGCTTTGAGAATGGACTTTGAGCCTCTAAAATCCCTTGAAAAAAATATGAGATGTTTAGTTTAGTTTTCGGGACTCCATTGACCAAATGCTAGCATTTGGAATGCTACAGTAGCAATTTAATGACATTTTTTTCTTTTCAATATTGTCCTCATTGATAATTATGTGTTCTACTTTTGCCCTAAAAAAGTACTGTTCATCTTCTTCCTCAAGCTATCATCGCCGGAGCTACTGTGTGTCGAGCGACCCAGATTTAGCCAACCACGGTCGTGTGACCTTGTGTCACGCATCCTCGGCATTGCGGATCCTTGGCTCGCCCAGGCGGCGGCCGTCCTCAGCGACAGCCGCCGGTGCCAGATTTGGCTCACTGGCGACCTTAGCCCTTCATCAGCTCCGGCGAAGGGTAGAGTAACCTTTTTTTTTAATAAAAAAGAAAATTCCCAAAGCCTTTTGCAAAAAAAAATTGCTAAACACTACTTGGGCCAAAATAGCTTCACAAAGGATTTTTTACCATATGCCATTGAATTTTCCCAAGGAGCTTTAACCTAAAGGTATTTGCATTCCCCCAAGACTCATTTGCAAAGTTGAACCAAATGGGCCATATATCTACGGGAATAGCCTAGTTGAAAATCTCTTGTTCTTCTACCAGCTGCACAATGAATGCTCTAGCTTACTCTCCTAATGAACAACAACAGGAGTACCGGGATCATATTCATAGAATTCTATATATACACTTTAAAGCCGCGGCTTTTAAATGAGTGAATCATAATTAAGAATTCAATCACTTTTATCATATCAATATAAGTTAATGTTGAAGACAATATTCAACTTAAAATCTCTAAACTTGCCTATACTTTTTTATTAGGTTCTTGAACTTTTGAATCTATCTAATCAAAATGTCGAACTTGCATAACCTTTTTAATTAACTAGATTTGACTGTCTGTTAGAGTTGGCAAGAGTCCAACGTGAAAAGCTCAGGTGAAATGTTTCATGTTGAGTAGTCTTTGGTCATGGTCTTCATCTTTGGAGCTTTAAGTCCCAAACATAAACAAATTCATTTTTTTTCGCCAAAATCTGATGTCGGCTTCGACGGATATATCGACTCTTTGACTAATTAGCTTTGGAGTCGGGGGAACTTGATCAATTAGAGGTATCAACAGTGGAATTTTATTTTTCCCAGTTAATACAGATAAGAGAGCAAAGATCGATTGGCAAAAATTATTTTAGCAAACTTTTTAAGTCAGATCTTCATATTTATAATGATAAGGTGCACATGCTCCATATCGTTTGACAAAAGAAAATTGTGGAGTACGCAAAAGAGACATACTGAGTAGAGTGTCCTTTCCTCGAATGCCCCCCACATGGGGATTGGTGGAAACCCTAATTCTTGGGGGGAAGAAGAGAAAGGGAGAAGGAGGGGGGTGTGGGTGTGTAGGCACATAGCTAGGCTAGGGGCCAAAGGACAAAGGCCAACTAAAGATGGTCGGGGCTATTGAAAGGGACTCACATTACCATTTTACCAAATAGTTCTCTTGACAGCTACATTTCTCCTTCTCCGAAGGCCCCACTCACCAGCACCATTTATTACATACATATAGACCCCTTCCTTCTTAGGATGCCCTTTTGCATTTTGTGATATCTTGTTACCGCATGCACATCAGCATTCAATATCATCGGCAAAATTATCCAAAAAATTCTAAACCTATTATACTTTTACCAATTCAGTTCTAAATCTTTTAAATTTATCAATTGAGTCATAAACCTTTACACTTCTTGCCAATTAAGTCCATCCGATCAACTTTGGACAGAAATCGCTGACGTGGACGCCGGCCGGCCACTTGGCGCTGACGTAGACATTTTTAAATAATATTTTAATTTTTTTTATAGTTTTCTTCTTCTTCTTTTTTCCTTTTCTCTGTTTTTTTTTTTTTTTGGTTTAGAGTTGGCCAGCGAGTGTAAGGACTCGGGGTTTACACTGTGTAATATTGTCCGCTTTGGGCCCACTGACCCTCACGGTTTTAAAACGCGTTGTCTTGGGTAGAGGCGCTCTCTGGCCCTTCCTCCCCCAAGCCCAATATTGTCCTCTTTAGGGCGCTCTCGGCCCTTCCCTCAAGGCTTTGTTCTCATCATGCGCGGAAGCAAACCCATGTGAAGCGCGTTACGGAGTAGAGAACCCAAGCCTTATAAATAGCCCATGACTCCCCCTTAAGCGATGTGGGACAAGAGACATGCTCCCCTTGCCATCCTAGAAGCCTGCCGGGAGCAGCTCCTTGTCCAGGCCCTCTGGCCCGGCGACCACTCTCGCCCTCGTCGGACCGGGACGTTACATTCTCCCTCCTTCGAGCACGGCGTCCGGTACGTGGCCCCATACGCGGATCGGGAGTCGGCTCTAATACCATTTGTAAGGACCGAGGTCTACCTTGTGTAATATTATCCGCTTTGAGCCCGACCCTCACGGCTTTAAAACGCGTTGTCTTGGGTAGAGGCGCTCTGGCCCTTCCTCCCCAAGCCCAATATTGTCCTATTTGGGCGCTCTCTGGCCCTTCCCCTCAAGGCTTTGTTCTCATCATGAGCAGTGGAAGCATAGTTGGCCCAAAGCGGACAATATTACACAGTGTAGACCCCGGGTCCTTACAGCGAGGGTGGCCGGCCGACCCTCGCCGGCCATAGGTGAGGGCCGACGACCCTCACTAGTCCCAGGCGAGGGCTGGTTGACCCTCGCCGGCTTTGGGCAAGGGTGTCGCGGCCCTCGTCGGCTTTGGGTGAGGGTCGCGGCGCTCTCACCCAGAGCCGGCGAGGGTCGGCCGGCCACCCTCGCCGGTCAACTCTAAATAAAAAAAAAAAAAAACAGAGAAAAGGAAAAAATAAGAAGAAAAAAATAATAAAAATTTCAAAAAATTATTAAAATATTATTTAAAAATGTTCATGCCAGCGCCACGTGGCCGGCGGCGTCCATGTCAGTGATTTCCGGACAAAATTGACCGGATGGACTCAATTGGCAAGAAGTGTAAAGGTTTAGGACTCAATTGGCAAGAAGTGTAAATGTTTAGGACTCAATTGGCAAACTTAAAAGTTTTATAACTGAATTGGCAAAAGTGAAATAGGTTTATGACTTTTTGAACAATTTTCGCCAAGATCATCATTTTCAGCTGTTATTAAACTATTATTTAGATTCGTTACTTTTGATTTTATACCCCCATGTAAGTTTAACCAAAGGGTTGAAATTGCGTTCGGGATATCAATAAGATGGTATTCTTAGAGTTTAGGTCGTTATTGAGTAACGTGATTCGATATTGTTTTCACATATATTAACTTCAATCATTAGGGCTTATAATTCGAGTAGTAGGTTTCTCGATCTTCTCGTTGTGAGAAAGAAAATGCGTTGAAATCTAAATTATGAAAATGAGAAACTTTGGACTATCCCCAAAGATTCATATTCAAGAAGCTTGGCTGGGGAGAATAATTAGGTACAGCACCAATGCTCTGTGTAGATTTCGCTGTTCGGCATGCAATCAATTAAAGCGTTTAAGTCAGCCCGCAATAACATTTCCAATTTTGGAATGAGAATGAGATTCACTGATCACGCGAATAAGAAGCACAAACATTTTTCTTCTATTTCTTTTATTTTAACTATGCAATATACTTTAATAAATTGAGCTTAAGGAAGAGCTAGGTTAAGGTGTGAGAGCTGCTATATGTAGGCACAACTTTACCAAAATACCCCCTCCCAGTTACAACCCATCATAGCCTACACATGTACACAACCATAGCATAGGGGGTCCTTTTAGTATTCTATCAAAAATTCTGTCACTTTGTACACATGTCAGTAGAATCCTGTTGACGTCTCCATCATCTATTATCGAACAATACTTTGGATGAACCCGTGATGGTACCTTCCCATTACATGATCTTGCAGCAGTCCATCTTCCGATTTCACCTTTCATAGATTCACCTGGGAATAGGAGTGGAAGGAGGGCATGGAGTTCACCGGACAAAGTGAAGCATTCGTCAATCGCGGGGTCAGAGGATTCAAAGGATTTGGTTCTCAATACAGTATATCTATTCGTACATACATACATACATGCATGCATACATACATGTAGCGTATTCATTTTTTCCTGTCTTAAGTACCTATCAATTTGTAGGACAACATTACATACGTGGACATCCTGTTAATGATATAGCAAACATAGTCAATTAATTCAAGAAGTTTGCACGGTCCTATTATTTTGGTTAGGGTTTGCAACAAGTCATGTTGTTTGTTGATTAGTATATCTTGTTTTCTCGTATAGTTGATGAAAATGATCGTCATATCGTCAATCTCCAATATGACAAAATGATAAAACATTAGCCCGATGTTATAAGTATCGCAATGATAGGATATTCATTATGGTTGTGTGTGAGTATTGAGGATTCTCCCTATCATCCGATTCTTTAATATTTCTTCTTAGATTAATCATGACAAGAAGAATAAGCTATAAGGAAAAAACTTGCTTATCAAGTTATAAGTATCTATACGTCTGCTTTAGCAAAAAAAAAAAAGTATCTATAGGTCTGTTAAGTATACTGTGGTTTCACAAACTTCCATCTAGGACAATGACCCTTTGTCGCAGACGTAAATGCACAATCAAAAAGGTAAAAAAGATTCAAGCAATAAGCAGTAAGAATTAAATGTTTCCCTTCTCTCTTTCTTGCCCCTTCAACACATCCTAGTTTACCAGAATATATGCATATATAGAGGGGGGGTCTAGTATTGGAGTTTTAAGAATCCCTAGCGAATTGACAGATGAAGAAAAAAATTGTGTGTTTCATCCCAAGAGACAGTAGAAAAGGGGAAATGGAAAGCATAGTGAGCGTAGGCTCACGATCTTGCAGTTCTGAGGTGTGCCACTTGCATTTACAGGGGATATCGATTCGAAGGCCTCAATGATTTTTCTATTATTGTTCATGGTTCATTGTTCAACCTTTTTGACTATTTGAATGAGTCATTGTATTTCAAGAACACTGCTTAAAGTGTTGAAAAGGATAGGAAGAAAAAAAAGAAGCTAGAAAGCTGCCCCTAGTTCGAAAAATGAGTGGCATATTGACGGATCACCATACTATGTAATCTGGGTAAATGTAACTGAGATGTGCAGGACAAGTTTACTAAATTGAATGGTGGGTATTTCTTTGTAAACATGTTTGAATAATTTAATAAAAAGAAGATGTTAAAAGAGTGCCACTTAGACATTTGTTAAGCCTTATTCACTATGTTTTGGAAATTTAAAATTTATTTTTGAAGTAGCCGACTTAATTAAAATCGGTAATCCTTTCATTTCTAAAGAGTATCGGAAAACTTTATTCTCATTTTTCGTTAATTCAACTAATACCGCAGGGACAATTGTTAAACATATCTTTAATAAAGTATTAGTACACAATATTAAAAAATTTACACATATATCAACTTTTAAGATCACATAAAAATTTTGAAATTTTTTCAATATCATTCGAATTTAAAATTGTATTTTTTTGTTTGAACGAGAAAGTCAATAGAATTTGTCAAACTAAAAGGGCCTTCAAATGAGTTTCCTAATGAATGTACTATGACTGCCATATTAAAATTAACATTATATTAGAAAGAAAAGTTGAGACCAAATCAGATTTTTACTGCCACGAGAGAAGCGATGAAAATGGAAAATATTGACCCCTTACCATATATATAAGAATATTAAACGCATGAATTTTTTTCTCTGTTTAAAAAGAATTCAAACTGTCGAATCTATTTATTTATCCCATAAGTATTTCATCTATGATTGACGAAAACATCGCCATGCAAAAAAGAAGAAGAAGAAGATGCATTCATAGTCATGAATTTATGAGCTACTGGGTGTCTTACCAACATACATATTCTTGTGGAATTCACTCTTTTCTTTTTGGGCTGTTAGAGAATCAAAGTAACACGCGAACATCAAATTTGGATGATGATTCAGCAATAGCATGGATGAAATCACTGTTGCACCACCAAACCATTAATTTGTAAGTGTGACCGGTTCATGAAAGAAAATTTGATATTGCAACAACTGATTTGTGCAATTAACCCATCTTTCATAATTTAAGTTTTTTTTTAATGAAATTGAGTCGCACTAACGTTGATGGATCCGGATTATCCCCTGGGTGATCTTCGGTACCAAACTTCTTCACCGGTACTTAGACAAACATTGTACTCTATGTGCACAATGGACGCTTTTGTTTGGCCTCTCTGCACATTTCATTCGAGAAGAAGAAGTTTTATAATGGGTTTCATCTACTTGGGTTGAAAACGATTGTTAAATATAGTGATATGCTACATTAATTTGATTTGACTAGCTTGACAGCCATGATTTTCAGAAGAACAAGCATTGATCAAGGGAATACTATTTTGACAAGTCATGGTTCTATGATGAATTTTTTTGAGGCTTGACATCTCCCTGCTTATATTCTCTTCAACCCTTGCATGTGGGGATGCATACACTGTCTAAACGCACGAGGATGAGAGGGGGCTGGGGGGAGAATCAGGAAATGAAAGGTCATCCCCCACACACGCATGGCTGATATTATTATGAGAGGGAGGGTTATAGTCACTCTTTTCTGCTCTAGGGTCTGTACCCTCTCATTTATTATTACCCTTTGTCTTTTTTGGCTTCCAATTCCTTCCCCATCCACTAAAATGCTCTTTGCCTCCACCTCTCTCTCTTCTCTCTGTCTCTGTCTCTCTCTCTCTCGCTTTGCTTTTTTGGTGTGTGATTGATGAATTGGCATGACTATTTGCCTTCCTCTACGCTACTGCCCAATTAGGGTTTCATCATAAAAATTTGCTCTCTCAGCATTAGAATCTGTCTGCAACAAATTTCATCCTCTCCCCCATCGTTTTCTAAGGTCACTTTTTTATCTTGGAACAAGGAAAAATCTCCTGAGAGAGATCCTACAAGGCAAAAGGTACAGTTCCTTTTTCCTAATTTCTTTTGATCAAGTAGACCTTGAACTAGCTATGACGCAGGTAAAGATCATGAGTTATAGCTATTCTTCACCGGCTAAGGTTGAAGTTTCTGGGAAACTCTGGAGCATAAAAAAGACTAAAAATAGCTAGGTATTCAGACACATGCTTGGAGTTTCTTAATTAGGGATTTACAATGTTTAGGTGCTAAAATTTTTTTGCTGAACTTTTATGTTATAGGGAGATGCAGAAACAACTGTTTATTTTAACTAACACTTTTTTTTGGTCAGATGTTTTAACTAACTTGAGCAAGATTGAATTCTCTAGCTGAGTTATGAGTAGCATGTGCACACAAATAGTTCTTCTGATCTGAAAGACACTTGAGCACCAGAGAGAGCAGAGAGAGAGAGAGAGAGAGAGAGAGAGAGAGAGAGTGACCTGCTGAATAGTAAAGTGGAAACAACAAAAGCCAAAAAACAAAAAAACAAGATAAGAAACGAAGATGTCCTAGTTCTTATCAAGAGCAATAGAGGAAAGCCAATAAAGAATGTTCAGACTCGGGAAATTCTGGGTTGGCATGAAGTTACCATTTTTCTTGAAAAGGGTACATTTGGAAATGAAGCTTGAGGTTGATACACTTCAACTCTCTAGGAACCAGGATGGATAAAACTATTCAGCGTTTTTCTCTTTTGATTACTTGTACTTATATGCTTCACTCATCAGCCATCCTCTGTAACCCTAGAGCAACGGCTTTCTCATGTAATCTCTCACTATAAGATTTTTAGCAAAAAATATCTCTCACTATAAAAGTAAACAAAACGATGGAGTCAAGCCAGGCGAGTGGACTCAAAGAAAAAGACGCACTAGCTAATTGGAAGCTAAACCATATATGTTGCATTCAAACTACATACGATGGTTCTTGAAATTGATGAAAAATGTGTGCTCACAAGAATCAGTGGATTGTAGAGACATGTCATCATCCAGCTCTTACAACTCCCCCTGTGCTGCCTGCAAATTCCTGAGGAGGAAGTGCATGCCGGGTTGCATATTTGCGCCTTACTTCCCACCGGAGGAGCCTCAGAAGTTCGCCAACGTCCACAAGATCTTTGGTGCGAGCAATGTGACCAAGCTGCTAAACGAGCTCCTCCCACACCAGAGAGAGGACGCCGTGAACTCGCTAGCTTATGAGGCCGAGGCGAGGGTCCGCGACCCAGTCTACGGCTGCGTTGGTGCCATCTCCTTCCTCCAGAGGCAGGTCCAAAGGCTCCAGAAGGAGCTTGACACGGCCAATGCCGATCTCATCCGATACGCCTGCAACGGGATTCCATCCTCAGCAGCCATTCCTGGGAGCAATAATCCAGTGCAACCTGTTACGCTACGCCAAAGGGCAGCTCCGCTCGAGTTTGGTGGTGTCGGGAGGCCAATAGGCAATGAAGGAGGAGGGGCATTTTATCAAGCTCCTCTTCCTCCTTATCCATTTCCTTATCCTCCTCTTCCATGGAATGATAGCTTTGGAGGGGACTTCAATGGAGGAGGAGGTAATATGTGAGAACTCAATAGGATCAGCCCTAATGAGGAAGGTGATATCCATCAACCATGTGCATACCTACTTGGTTATGGATTTTATAAATTGAGGTTTCTGTTCAATTTTTATTATATATATGTGGAGTCTTGTAGTAGCTATAGCTTCTAGACCATTTTAACATACTGCTCATTATACAAGCAATAAGTTTTATGGGGGTAACTCGTATTAATGTGTCAATCCCTGTTAAACCTAGCTACAGAAACTAGCTCAAGAGAGAGTATTGTTGAGTAGCTATATATGTTTTAATTGCTTATATTATAATTGCTAGCTGTTCCAAAGCATGTGCCTGCGGAATTGCAGTTTTCTATATCATTGTTTATATATTCTTTAAGCTTATTCACACACTTACAAGACTCTTTTAATCATATATGCCAGTATTCTCATCTCTCTTTCTGCGCTATGTTCTTGAGGACCACTGTGATTATTATCACTTTCTGATCAGATCTTTGAGCAGTCATAAAGCACAAGTCTTCAACTTCAACTCTTATAGCTTCAGCATATTCCTGGCATGATATTCTCGTGGCTTTTCGTTCGGCTATGCGTCTTTCTCATGAAAGGGGAAAAAAAGCAGGTTTCGAAAGTGTGAATAATTGTTATTGTAGAGAAGACCCTTTCAAAAAGATTGTGTGAAGTTTTTGCGAGGGGGGAATGGAAATGCATTTCGCTCACACATTTTCTCTGTGTCCTCTCGTGACTTTGCCTAAAATTTTGTCTGCTCTATATATTGAAAGAGGTCGCTTCATTTTTTTATTTGATTTATTTTCTCAGTGACACTGGGTAGCTTTGTGGAGGGGGAAAAGGAACATTGACTTCCAAGTTCTGAAATTCTAGAGGCAAAAAGAAAAGAAAGGTTCATGAAAATCCAAATCTGCACAGTCGTCACAGTTCTTTCCCTCCCCTTACCTCATAATTCCCTGCAAGAGTTTTCAGGCTTTTCATACCCCATATAAGAATCCAAGTTAAAATCAAAATAGAATATAACGTCGCCATCAACTATAAACCCCAGTTGATTTCTCTCTCTCTCTCTCTCTCTCTCTCTCTCTCTCTGTCTTCTCTCCAGTGCGCGTAAAAAGCTGCAGCTTTATTACGTGCATGCTTCTCTTACACATTTTCTTGGCCAATTCGCATGCTATGCTCTATCGTCTGCTATTAGTAAGCATGCAAGTATTGGCCAACTGAGAAGCCAATAACAAAAAGGGACATGTTTCCAAGCAAAAACAGAACTAGGGTTTTTATCTGCCTTCAAGAGAAAAAGAAGATCTTTCCTAGGTAGGCTTTTTCTTTCTTTATTTGAGGTTTGAAATGCTCTTGATCCACATAAAGTTTATTAGCATGGTGTTCCTTTTGTGCATCCTTTTCTTTCTACAACACAAACCCACACGCTAGTTGACCATTTCTTGTTCCTTCTTTAACCTTGCCAGGTACACACACACAGTATCTCTCTCTCTCACTAGAAAAAATATTTGTCTCCAAGGAAATTAAAAAGGAACCCACCCATGGGTAGCTCAGTTGGTTAGGGCGTACTTGGGATTGTGTGGTTAGGCGCATTTGGTCCCGGGTTCGATTCAGTGAGCACTTGTGATTTAAGTGAGGGCCATGGCGGTGGGTTCTTTGTCTTTAGTCTCCCCGGAATAGTCGAGGTGCGCGCAAGCTGGCCCGGACACCTCAGTTTAAAAAAAAAAAAAAAAAAAGAACCGAAACTATACTAAAATCATTAAGTCAAAATATAGAAAGTGAAAATTTGTATGACATGGTAATTTATAAGTAGATACATACATAATAAGTGAACCCTATTTTTTTTGTCGAAAAGTGAACCCTAATTAACCATGTCTTTTGTAACTTGATTTTACCATATAAGAAAAAAAAATTTGAGAGAGAAAAAAAAAGGAATAGAAAATGAGCAACATGGTCCTTTCTCATCTTTGCCTGTAAAACTGTTCTCTTGATTTGTCGGGGCTTCTGATCTCTGCAAGGTTCAGTGAGAGTCATGTCTCCAATTCATCAATTTCTCAGACATTATCAAGAAAAAGCATGAACACACTGTTGCAAAAATTCTTGCCCCCACGAAAATCCCACTTTTGGATTTCGCTTTGCCTCGAGCTTCGAAAAATAGAAATCTTGTTTTTTGTTGGGTTAATACCATAAAAAATTCAAAATTAATATACTTATGATAAATTTATCAAAAACTATTTTTTTAACCACAAAAAACTTCAAACTGGTACATTTGTGATAAATTTACCCCAAACTAATTTTTGACCATTAAAAACCTCAAAATGGTATACTTGTGACAAATTTACACTACGTTAAATTAAAATAATATACAAAAATAACAAACTCATATACCTATGACAAACGGAGGGTAAAATCCCAAACTGATACATTTGTTACCTGACTCGTGTTATTTGACTTAGCAAAATAACAGTAAAATTTAACGGAAACTAACATAGAGTGAATTTTTTACAGGTGTATCAGTTTGGATTTTTAGTGGTCAAAAAATTAATTTGAGATAAATTTATCATATGCGTATAAATTTGAGATTTTTCGTTATACAAATTTTTTTTCCCTCAAGTTATAAGCTGCATTCAATAAAAGAACTTCGTACTTATTTAGATAAATATTTAAAGTATTGGTCATGTCGTTCCCTGAGAAAAACCGACAGTTTTCTGTTGTTCTAGAATCCATCAAATCTTCTCAGGAAAGACGTGGAAGAGAAGCAAACAACATACTGTTTCTCACATATTTTTCAACAGTTCTAGCTGCCAGTCCAATAAATGTACCCAGTAAACACCCTCTTTTAAAACAATTTGTACCTGAGTGCGCTCGCATTTCTTAGGTTAGGATGTTCTTGATGTGCCAGGAATTTCTGTCTAATCCAATTTCCCCCAAATCTCTCTCTATCTCTATTGAAATGCATATTTGACGTTTTTTTTAGCTAAACCTCAGTGAGTCTTCATGGATAGCTTGGTACTAACACACTCATGGAAATGTACTATATGCTATGCATTCACTCATATACTTCCGTGGGTACATGATATAAATAGGGGTGTCCATAGGATTAATGTAAACTCACTTGAAAGCATCATCTGAGTTTGTTAAAATTACCAAATTATTTCTCAGAAGTGTGATCATTAGCTCTGCTCTGAGCGACGGAAGAAATTCCAATGAGGCAATCTCCAAATACTAAATTCCGGCATAGGCTTGCTGAGTATCATGTATTATATCCCTTACTATATAATATCATAATACTAAATGCCCTAAAAAGGATCCCATTTAGTATATCTCTTCTCTTCTCCTTCCTTCCTCTTACTTTCGCCGAGCAAGAACCAGAATTAACTTGCGCTTAAATGAACAACATTAGAACTTCTTTTGGTTATCAAGTAATATTTATATTGAGCCTATCATTCATAATCAACTGCTTTATTGATGCATATGTACTGCAAATAGTTGAGATAATTTTTCATAATTAGCTAGAAGAAACGAATTGAACATATCTCTTGTCCCATTAGTTACCACTCTCATCGGGAACTTAGTTGCCCACTAAATATGGACGTGGCCTCCTTATCTTGATGAAATTGAGATATCCCTAATTTTTCAACGCATGTGTTCGAACTCATATCTTTTACTTATAAATTGCAATTTGATTTTTTTTAGAGAGAGATTTGCTCCAAATAAGGTAGGAACAAGGTAGCTCCTTCCTCTAATGTGGACATCAATATTAATTGTTGTAAAGGTCAAAATTTCACATAAATGAATTAAGGGTACCTGCAAGAGATTGAACGGACCAATGAAAAAACCGCCGCGTCATGCGAAGGATAGGAACGAAGGTGGCTCTTATTCAAAAGTCGGAATTTGACATTTTTTTATGACCCAAGTAAAAGAAAAAGGGAGTATCTCAATCATGATAAAGAAAATTATATAGATTTTGCCGCACCAAGCATTGGCATTGCCAAAGGTTTATGCTACCAATCATTGACAATGCAATGCCCCGGTGCGACACCTCCATATACAACGCCGACCTAAATCCAAGAGGACCGTCCTTGGACATCAGATCTTCTGAACCAACTTTAAATTAGCTTAAACAGAACAAATTCAATGAATATGAGGACGGTTTAGATCAGGATCGCATACTTAATTGGATCTCCCTCACCTACCATTTCAGCTTTAAATCACGCCACACCACATTAAAGGACACATCCCTGTCGATGTATTCACTTTTAAATCTTTTCTTCCAAGATTGCCAATGATGATGGCTATGATGGCTCCCATCAGCGTGATTCATAAACTAACCGGACATTATCAGATTTGATCAGTTTGATCTTTTGGCGATAAATATTCTGTCTTTTGGCGTAGGACTTGTTAATTGAAAAGCTGCGATACGTACAGATCTTGGAGATCTGAGAATATGAAGGCTAAGGTATTCGATGGGTAGAAATATGTGCCCGTTCTCCAACCTTTTTCGTGAGTGGGGAATTTCAGGGTTTATAGTAATGTGAATGTATCGACCATTAATTAATTAAGTCAGAGAATAATACCCTTTTTTTTAAGAGGGCTAAATATGCGAGGTTGGTTGACCAAACCCTAAAGAGAAACCTCGTAATGCTATCGGAAGCAATTAGATTACACTAGCATCTCAAATCAGCTAGGTGACAAAAACACATACATTCACGAACAATTCATATCTATAATTTGGCTTTCTTTGGTTCAAATGGTTGAATATCTTTAATTTCTTTTCCTTATTGCTAAGTAAAAGTTTTCATTTTTTTTTTGTCTTTTGGGTGATCGGTTGTAGGAAAGGTTAAACCCTAGATGGCCATTGGCCCATCAAAGATCTAAATGGTGTCCGTCTTTAAGTTGATTTTTAGCATGGTCTAATTTTCTTACGATCAAGTCACGAGAAAATTTGTTGACAATCTCTTATCCATGTTGTCGATCGCTTGCTTCTAAATGAAACAAGGATGTGCAGTCTAATGTGCAAAAGTTAACTTGTGTACAATCCACGACGAGACTAGATCGATAAGGTCGCAACATTGGAAATGAATTTCGCTTAATGGACTACGATGCCTTCTCATTATTTTTTTTCTAATAGTCCCTTCTCTTCAACATGCAACTATAGTAGGTTTTTTGAGGGGAAATTATCCGATCAGTTTTAAGCCTATTGTATGAATGCCAATTCGATTCTAAACTTTCTAATTTTTATCAATTCAATCCTAAATCTTTGCTTAGAAATTTCAACATAGTCCTTCCGGCCAATTTTTGCTGAAAATCGCCCACGTGGCAGTCTGCCATGTAGGGCGGTCGGCAATGACC